ATGTGTGTCTGTTGATGGTCTTTGTGAAGCAGATTGTTTGAGAAAAGCAAGAGCGATAGGGCAAATTAGGTCTGCATGTCTGTTTGATGTGGCCACTGAGGCCCTCTGATATTCTGGGAATTTAGACAAGAGTAGGGATTTTCTTCACCTACCACCATGGTTCTGTATATGGGGAAGGGAAACCGTATAAAAAGGCTGAAACTGCAGCAACACATGTAGTATAAAGACTTAATTATAAAAGTAAAAGTAGTTTTCAATAAACAAAACAGAAATACTATCAGCAAGCTGTACTTACAGTAGCAAACAACGTGCTCATTCAGCACAAAAAGGGGCCCTGTGACTAATATATTGTTATAAGACATTTTTGCATTTGCATCAAAGTGTAACTGTTTTACTGTTGTAGTGGTGTGAGGTGAAGCTAAATACAAATGCAGTGGTTTCCAAGCTGATACGTCAGTTGATAGGTCATTGCAGGTCAGCTGATGAATGACAAGTGAGGTACGGAAATACCCATGAAAAAAACACAGTCACCTTTTTCTAGTTTGCTTTTTAAAAACAAAACAAAACAAAACAACAACAGCAACAACAAATTAAGGGAACCATATCTATTTATGCTGTGAGTTGTGTGAAGAATCTATCTTAAAATTTCAGTATCGGTTTTGTTATAGTTTTCAACCTAAGGTTCAGGCCCCGCTGATGGGCCCAAAGATTTATCTAAGGGGGTCAAGCAGAGTTCTGGTGCTCAAACTTGTATTTGTTAGACCTTTCTCGGTTTGGTTTACTTTGTTAATAATAATAAAATAATTTTAATAATAATAAAATAATAATAAAATAATCTCTGACATTGGTAGAACTGTTAAAAACACATAGATTATTGTTTAGTTTGCACACTCATGCTGACAGTTTTTACTAAGAACAACGCAAATGTCGATGTTTCAGATAACAATCGCCTCTTATTGACTGAATGCATTTAGCAACTTGAACGTGCAGTTATCGTTGTCGAGCCTTGATTAATGGCGTATCGCTGGTCACTGAGAGAGAGTGGAACTGAAAGGCTGGAAGTATTGATCCTTTCATACTGCAGTTTCCACTGTCAGGTAGGAGAAATGTCAATGTGTTGCTTTGGCTGCAGCAGGGACTAGAAATGTCAGGATTGATAAAAATAAAAAAGTTCCCAAAAAACAATACCTAACACAGGGAAATGAAGTGATAAAGGTCTCTGTTCATCCCTCTGTCTGTCTGTCTGTCTGTCCATTCATCCATATATCCATCCACTCATACTGTATGTCTGTTTATTAATCCCTTTGTCTTGACATTCAGCCATGCATCTGTCTACTCGGTCCACTCATTCATTGTTTTATCCAACTAATCTCCATTATCCATAAATTTGTCCACCTATCTATTTGTCTCTGTGTCCATCTATGTACACACCCATTCATGTGTCCAGTAATATATGCACCACTTGGTTTGTTTGTCCATCCACCCATGTGCCCATCCATCCACCCATTTGACCAACCAGTCCCTCTGTCCATCTGCCCATGCATCCATCCAATCATCTATCTAATTTTTTTTGTCTGTCCATCCCTTCATCACCCAGTCTATTCATCCATCCACCCACCTTTCTATCTCACATCCATCTGTCTATCTTATCCATCCATTTATGTATTTTCTAAACTTACTATCCTGTTTAGGGTCATACAAAGTGGGAGCCTATCCCAGCATGCATTGGGCAAAAGCCAAGGTGCACAGTGGACAGATTGCAAGTCCAGACTCGTACACCTGACCTACATGTTCTGTGGAGGAAATTAGAGCAGAGACACAGGGAGAACATGCCATTTACTCAAAAAAGGAGTTGCTGATGAATTTGTTTCTGATAAAGCTCTGTACATTTTCATGTAGAACAGTTTCGTTTTATAAAATTGTTTGCTGCTGTGTAGCTTGGAAGGCTCTCTATCATGATCAGACAATAGTTGAGCTGATTTCACTGATTACCATCTTGCCTTTGGGTGAAGGTGTGCTAATCAGTGAAATCAGTTGCTGTAGTGTTTCATCAAAATGAAAAGCTGCAGATGGTCCTCCTGAGAGGGTCATATCAGCAGATGGTGATGCGTTCTGTGTTAGCTCTCACAAAGCCCCCTGTCAGATACTACTATGCAGATACTGATTTCTTGTTACTCACAAAAACACAAACCTGCCCTCTGTACCTATGTAATCTTCACCTGTTTCTCAGCATGAATTTCACCCTTAATTCATTTGGTTGCAACCTATGAATACATGGTTTTTCTCAAGTTATTTATATACTGTATAATAAATAACATAATGAACACATCTCATCAAATACGTTAAACTGCTCATATATTGCAACTTGTCCAATGCCATGGCACATTTCTTTTTCATCCCTTACCATCCCCCACGTCTCTATCTCTGACCTTGACTGCAGACAACAGTGCCTCAGTGATTAACCATTTCACAGTAAAATAAACACACATGTTTGGATTGAAGCACACTGCAACACTTTCCTAAAAGCACTCATTTCAAGACATGAAACCATTACAGTTCTGCAGCTTTTTACAGTCTCTGGCAGGATGTATGCATGAATCACTTCTCTGTACAAGAATAGATAAAGATTTTGGTTTGTAATATTATGCCTCCATTTTAATCAGACTGCACTCTTTGATTCTGAGTGTGAGTGCTTTAAAACTTGAAATTAATTAACTAGATTTCATTAGTCTTTAAAATATTAAATTATATTTCTACAAAAAAAGGCTGAACAAATCAGACAAAGACGTGTGGATCTGCTGTGTTAAGAGATACAGATATGTGGCTTGGATATTAAGAATCTTTTATATGTTCAGGTACGACACTGAAAAGGACTCATTTACCAGTGACTGTCTTTCTCTACCTCTTTGCCATAGGCATTGTGTCTGTGCATGTGTGTGTCTGTTTAAGGCATCAATTTATGTCTTCCATTAGAGGTGGACGGAGATGCAGGTCTAACCCTCAGCTGCCTATGAATAGTAGAGTACCTTAAAAAAGAAATATGTGCCTGGTTGCTCTTAGTTGTTTTGAGACATATTCTTGCCGTGTGGCAGTTTTCTGACTTTTCTAGCGTATGTCTCCACTTCTGGCTGTGCTCCTCCTGTAGATGTGTTTCAGATCTTAACTCTGATTCTGTTTAGGGTGCTTTTGTGGCCTGGGACTGGTTTACTACAACAAGTCTTGCACCATGCCGCCCATCACCTTCCAGGACCTGCCTCTGAACATCTACATGGTCATCTTCGGGACAGGCATCTTTGTCTTCATCCTGAGCCTCATCTTTTGTTGTTACTTCATCAGGTAAAGCGCAACAGGAAAAGACATATGTGATTAAAAGTAAGATGTGGAGAAAAAAATAAAAGGCAAGAGTGAGAAAGTAAACACACGAAGAAGGTCTTGATGAAGAGCCTTTGCTACTAGTCCAAGTCCGACCTTGATTCATTTTCTGGCGAGCTGCTAGCAGCAATTCCCTCATCCACAACTCGGTATGCAAACTGCACCCGTGGTAATCTTGCTGCGTAGTTGGGTTGGATTGAGGCTGTTCCCACCACAAATGAACTGCTCCAGTTTGTTTGTGAGTGAACTGAGACAGCTTCCTCTAATGTCTCATTGTGGTTGTTTTGGTATGCACCTGAGTACTGTTGCTGAGTTCATATCTGCCCACACAAATCGCACCAAACGACAAAATGAACCACAGCCTGATTCAACCAGTCTAAACAACACATATTTGCAAATGCTCTTAGATTCTACAGTCACGCTAGCAGCACGAAACACAAAGCACAGCTGAAGCTGATGAGTATGTCAGTAGCTTTGCCGGTGTTTAGTCATTTATTAAAGTATTGGATAAAGTACGATTTTGACTTGATGAAGATGCTAAACGAAGAGTCAGGGGTCACCAAGTTATTACAATTCATCCTAAGTTGTTGAGCTATTTCAGTCTGGCCCAAAGTGGTGGACCAACATTGCTGTCCTTATGACCTTCCACAGTAGAGCGATTGTGTGGGGAAGGTAAGAAGGTATGAAAAGAAGAGGAACAGGGTGATGACTGTATTCCCTGATGAACTGAAGGAACATTTGTGCCTGAAAGACAGGATATGAGGCAATAGGTAGCAGCCCATCACAGTGTGTGTGGACAGCAGCAAGGACAACTGCAGAGAAGCTCTGCTCAGAATGAACACAGCCTAAATAGCACACTGAGAGTGTGCAAAACTATCACACATGAACATATGCAGTGTACAAAATCTCATCAAGAAACATCTACACCTGCAGCAGGATTTGTTTGTCATTCTGAACCCCTCTTGGATGACAGATTACCTGACATGTGGTGTGCACATTTGGCATTGGGTATGATGTTGCTGTCCAAATCAGCTGTTATCAAAATGTCAAAGAATTTTAAAAACATGTGCCTGATAGCTGGTGGCATACTGAGCCAGCGTGCTGCCTTGAAAATATATTGTAATGCACAAGTGGAAACGTCACAGTACAAATGCATCGGTATCGGTGATTGCTGGTATGTGGCACTTCTGGCTACATTTTGTGCAATTGCTTATTGTGAAGGTTTAATTGGATTTAAGTGATTTCTAGCAATAAACTAGTTACACCAAACTAATCATCTGCAAACTGCAGTTAAAAACACAAGGTTAAAAAGTCTAAACTGCACATTATAATGATAAAATAATCTTACCCTGAGCTCCAGCTTTCAGTAATACAGTGTGGTCTTCATTAGCAGGTAGCATTTGTCCAGTTGCAATAGAATTGAACATATATTTATTTCCTTCTTTTTTACCAGAGCATTTAAAGGACTTCTTGTCCATGTTGGAAAAAAAAACACAAACTCCATCTGTTGTTGAAGATCATGTGATAAGATCAAAAGCTTTTTTTAAATGGACCTGTAGTGATATTGGTTTGTTAACTGGTTTCCAAAGTCAAGACTGAACTTTGACCCTTGTCCTTCAAGCCAATATGGACAAGAAGTTCTTAAAGTTGTCAGAAAAATATTTAAATTTGAACATCTAAAATTACATTGCAAATGGGCAGACTCCAACTCACGTGTGACAAGATGAATTTTGCCAAGTTAAAAGTGGTCAGTATTTGGAGATTGGTTCATTTGAGAAACAGGGAATCTTTGTTTCAACTCTCAGGCACACCTGAAGTAGAAGCTTTTAAATGACACAAAATCCAGCATAAATTTAGAGCACATTCTAATCATTGAGATATTTTTACCATCTAGAGATAAACAAGCTTGTGCCAACTAGTATCAAATATTGCCAAAACAGACAGAACAGATCTCAGTGTTTAGTTTCAAAACCCAGTAATGGTGTTGAGCTCAGACGCAGCGATGTTACTGTGGATGTTTTGTCTGGGATGAGGATGCCACTAACTTGGCTGTCAGAAAAGCTTGGACCCTTCCTGTTTCTCTTACAGGACTTGCCTATGAATTATAACCAGTGAGTCACTTCCTTTCGGTCCTATTAACATGCTAAGGGTTGTCTTGGGTAGGAGTGTGATTGTGAGTTTATTTATAAACCGGGTGATTCATCAGATGAATACTGAGTGATGAATGCCAATCTGTCGGGGGGCAGATTTCCTATCATCTCTCTCAGACAGGCTCTCACTAAACCCTAAACCCAGTGTGTCAGGGAGCTTGTGATGATCGATTTTAACCTTATGGTGAAAGCGTTTGGTTCGTCTCTGTTCATCAATGTCTACTATGTAATTTCACCTTTAACTATAGGTGTAATTTGGGTAGGGTTTTCAGATCATACATGACATTTTCAGTCCCATTTCAGAGTTAAACTCTTAATTCTGGCACAAAGTGGGGGTGCACACAACAGTGCCTGCAGTGTACATAAGTACGAAACCAAGAGGGTGCCAAAAGCACATATTAAAAACATCATATATTTAATTATACCCTAACATGGGTTGAGAGATATTTTGAGAACCATAATGTGTTTTAACCAAATGGCACAATGAGAGGCAATATTAAACTATTTGAGTGGCTTTTACCAATTAAATTCACTGACCCATTAACTTACTGTCAGTGGTCCCTGAGACTGCAGTTGTGAAATGCCCCAAGGGTCCCAGTGGAGAATGAATTCCACGAAGATGGTGACAAAGACACTGTCTTACTGTACCTGTAGGGAACTGGAGGACAGTTAATTCCTAGATGCTACAGCAGCAGTTAATCTTCCAACACATAAACATAGGAATAGTGTTAGCAACTTATCAGGAGACAGACATTAACTTGGTTAAATATGGGGATACGTCTCTTTCCAAGGAGAAACTTAATCATTTTGATTGATGTTGTTACTGTAAATTGGATTTTCCAACAGACTCTGGTAAAAGTTTCTGCACCCATCAATGTATTATTTACTATCCACCAGTTGAACTCTTTTGTTACTTCCTACTATATGAAATGGTCAGTAGCTGTGTGTCGATATTCTCCTTTCTTGCAGGCTGGGCACAAATCTGAAATCTTCATCACGGTACCCTTTCACCCACTTCCCTCATTCTCCAGGCATGGGAAACCTCAGCACATGTAAAACGTGTATCCTCACATTGTTCTACAAGACTGTTAGAGGCATTCAGTGTAAACAATAAACTAAGTGACAAAAACAATGAATAACTGTCATTTCCTTACTTTCAAGTGCTGACTTATTGAGATACATTTTTTAAAAATTTTAACCAGGATCAGGCCACAAAAAAAAAACAAAAAAAAAAAGAAAACATTCATTTTTCATTTTGGATATTTTAACAGCGATAGACATTCGAGTTTATGTTTAGTTGTGTAAAAACAGAAGGCCAAAAATAGCCACTAGAACAGACAAAGCTCGCCAAGTGATAAAGATCTCTCCATTGTTGGTTTCGGGGGCGGTGCAGGGATTCAAAGAGGCAACATACCCATTAGTTGTGTGTGTGTGTTTTAGCATTTGCATGTAGTTACAGTGCATAAGTTCTTGTGTGACCAACATGTGTTTGTGTGCTTGGAGAGGGACGTGTTTGTCCATAAGTGTGTGTGGCCACTGTAGGAGTTTGAAAAGGCAGTTAATTATTAAAGTAAATACCTGCAATTACACAGCTTCAGTTAGACACAGTCCCATAATTTAACCACACAAATTGAACTCTTAGCCTGAATATAGTGGCCTAGTTTTAAACTCATCTAATATACAGAGAGCTTTAGTTCCAATAAACAAGTGGAAAGTGGTGAAAAATGGAAATGTACTCCACTACACTTCAGAGGCCAACATTATAGTCTTTAGTCCACCATTTGTACTTTTACTTAGGCAACAGTTTCAAATACTTCTTCCATCACTTTGAACAAGACACACATACAAAAGTATGGCTGACTGAAGGTTGTACAGATTGTAAACAAAGTTATTTATTTGTTGTTTTCTATTCATTTGCAGTAAACTAAGACATCAAGCACAGAGTGAGCGGTTTGGATACAGAGAGGTAAGCCTGAGGTTAAAATGATGCACATTTTAAGGTCTAAATTACAAAAAAACTTTCTTAAATATTTTTGTTTATATTGCTCCTACAGGTAGTTTTAAAAGGAGATCCAAAAAAGTTGAACCTTCATGGGGTAAGAATGTAATTTATATTTCTATCTGCACTGATGTCTGTACATGCTATCAGTGAGCAAACTGCTTAAAGCCAAGACTGACACATGATAATTTCATCAAATGACTCTCCTCTCTCACACTGTCCTATCATTTACACAGCAGACGTGTGCCGTGTGTCTGGAGGACTTCAAAGTGAAAGACGAGCTGGGAGTGTTGCCATGCCAACATGCTTTCCACAGGAAGTGAGTACAAGAGACTACAGCGGTCATTTTCCCTCGCTCTCATTACCACTTTGCCCCCTGCCTGGGCTCGTTAAATTAAAAATGGTCACATTCGATCTGAAGTTCAGTGATCAAAAGTTAGACTGTTGAGTGCTTCTGTCCGCAGTGTGGCTGCTAGCTGAACAATTTGTGCGTTCATTTTTTGTTGTCATTATCTACCTGTTCCTATTCTCAATAAAGGAGGAATGGGCAGCGCTACAGTGTGTTCTAACATGCACTGGGTAGATGGCAGTTAGTACTAGCACTAAGCTCTTGTACACCATTCCACACAGCCATTTTAAACCCAAGGAGCATTTTTTCCCCCCTCAGGTGTTGAATATATTTGACAAGTATTTTACCATTGTAGTAAGTTCAACAGGCATGTCCTCCAGTGGAATCTAGACACTGGTGGTGGTGGAGTAAAGTTGGGTCTCCCTTAACATCTCGGACACGCTAGGTTGTCTCATAACAGATCTGTAAGACACAATTATACAAGTTTTTAAAGATTGGCTGGAGAGCATGATGAGAAAAAGTATTGATTAGATGTGGGTACCTGAGAGTTGTGAATGCCAGGACTTTGACAGCACAAGAAAGTGGAAGTACTGGAAATAATTAGAGCAGGAAGAAATTCACTCAGAGGAATAAAGTCAAAATGTCAGAGAATGAACTTTACTGTACTTTACTGTAAATGAATCCTACAGAGCTCTCACCTGTTCATGCATGGTCAGTGTTCTTAAGAACAGTTTTGAGTACTATTTTCAGCACCTGTACTTTATCTTTTAACCTCACTACATTCTACAGGTATATATTGTACACTTTGATCAACTACTAGTTAGTCTGAGCATGTAAATTTTACACACAAACATATAATAGGCCTATGAAATGCACTGTAATAGATTACCCTGCAGTAAATTGTCTATATTATATATTAATTCGCAACAGTCCAGTAGTATGAAATAATACATAACTGCTATTCACTACTTTTTGTTAGGGTGCGCTCGAACACAGAGTGAGCGAGCAAATAAAAAGCGGACCCAGGTGGCTGGCTTCGGTGCAAGCAGTGAGGTTTATTTACAGTGAAGGTAGTGACATATATACAGGAGGAGTAATGAGGTAGATGACCGGGTGTCGATCAGCAGCAGCAGAAAAACAGTCAGTGGTATGGTGGATGATGATGTACCGGGCTGCGGACGCAGAGGTCACTCCTGGGCTGGTCGAGGTGGAGGTGATGATGGCTGTAGACAGAAGAGCAGGGATAAACTGGGTAAGGGAGACTGTGCATCGACCTGGGAGGCGGTGGCTGGTGGTGTAGATTAAATCCAGGGGGGTCCAGAGGAGAGGTCCGAAGAGGAAGAAGACACTAGAGACGGCAGGGCAGGATAACGACTAGGGTGCTAACAAGGACTAGAGAGAACAAAGACAATCTTAGCATAAACGTGATAAAACAACATAACAACCACTGGCCTGAAGACAGAGAAAGAACTGGCAGGGGAGTGACTGGTGAACAGTGTATAAGTATGGAGGAGACTAATGAGGTGCAGCTGGTGAGTAATCAGGGAAGCGGGGAAGGTGTGTTGAATAGTGTAATCAGTGCAAGGGCTAGGCTAGTGTGAGGAAAAAGAAGAGAGGAAGGTGTAGCTGGGCAAACCTGACAGCTTCCTCATCAGCCCACCACAGTTCTAACCAGACTGTCAGATTGCATGATCATATTCAGGGCCACCTGCCACCTCCAGGACTGGAGGAGGCGGAGCCGGCGTTGTACAGAGGGGACTGGAGGAGACAGGCTTGATCTGTGAAACATGAAAAACAGGGTGAATACGGAGGGAATCAGGGAGGTTGAGTTTGACGGCAGTAGGGTGTATGATGTCCTGGATGGTAAACGGCCCTAGGCACTGAGGCGAAAGCTTGGGGCATGCTCCTTTTATGGGGACATGGGCGGAGGAGAGCCACACCTTTCGCTCAACCTGGTAGGTGGGAGCGGCCCGACAGCGGCGATCAGCTAGTCTTTTGTTTTGGTCCGCTGTGCAAGGCGGCCCTGGTCTCCGCCCAGACGGCCTGACAACAAGAGATGTGAGTCTGGACGGAGGGGACAGCAATGTCTGTTTCAGCAGCAGACAGAAGGGGAGGTTGGTAGCCTAGGGATGCCTGGAAGGGAGAAATACCGGTGGCAGAACTGGAGAGGGTATTGTGGGCGTATTCCACCCAGGGCAACAACTGGCTCCAGTCCTCTGGTGAGGAACTGGTGACACAACGGAGGGCGTTTTCCAGCTCCTGGTTTAGCCATTCAGCTTGGCCGTTGGTTTGGGGGTGATAGCCGGAATATAAACAAGGGTGTGCTCCGAGGGCAGTGCAAAAGGCAGACCAGACATGGGAGGTGAATTGTGGACCGCGGTCAGAAACGATAGTGATGGGAGTGCCGTGAATACAAAAAACGTGCTGAACCAGGAGCTGGGCGGTTTCGAGAGCAGTGGGGAGTTGAGGAAGGGCGAGGAAATGGGCGGCTTTAGAAAAACGGTCGACGATGGTGAGAATGACAGTGTTGCCCTGGGAAGGAGGCAGGCCGGTGACAAAATTTAGGGCTATATGAGACCAGGGGCGACTAGGCATGGTCAGCGGCCGAAGAAGACCCGCAGGGGATTGATGGAGGGGGTTGGACAGCGC